CATCTCTGGTCTGGTACTCTCTTCGGTCCCAAGCTAATTGATGCACCCTTCGAAACATGGGAAAATCCAAGAACCCCTCATTTTATCTGTCAAACTTTCAAAGCGAATGAAAACAAACATAATTTAGTACTAGAATTTCGACTAGAATGGGGTACGTTAATCGATTTGCTTGGGATCAATAGGCTAGTCAAGTAGTGAGCCAATTTTAAATTGATAGTTTCGTATTGATTGTTGGTGGTCTATGATACGAGTGCGTGGTATTGAAAATACTCATGAAAAGTATTTATTGGCAGTAAAATGGTAAAATACTTTGCGTGGCATTGAAAATAATCAACAAATCTTTAACGATAATTAGGATTTGATGAAAGCTCAATTGTATTTGATATACTAATGTCTGACTATAATTCAAGTATTTAAAGCTGAAGAGTTATTGACGTGAACGAAGCCATTGTTTCCAAATAAGTTACGCTCTCATCTCAAATCGCCCCGGATTTATTATTTGTTAGGCAAAACAAATTGACGAAAATGTGTTCTTTAATCAAACTTTTTGCACTTTTAAGGTAGTTGCAGGCTCTCAAATATGGACCAACAGGTCTGTCAAGAGCCACATGTGAAAAGGGCATACACGATTTTTGTAAACCAACCTTTGTAGACCCTTTCTCGCCAACCGAGGGTCGCCCACGTAAACCAACATTATCATCGGGAAGGGGAAAATTTCCCCTACCCGGTGATGTAGATGTGGGTGGCGAGAAAAAGACATAAGAAGGTTTGTTTACGAAAAGTTTCTATACCCTTTCCACATATTGTTCTTGATACAGGCACTCTGCAGCCAATATACACTCAGGTCTTTTTTTACACGGGGGATACGGTCCGTGTAAAAAAACCATGTGTAAAAAACCTACGAGATTTTGATTTTTCGCATGCTTAAATGTTTTTAAAAAATCGAATTTTGATGCCATTTGTAATTAAAGCATGATATGGTCCATATAGACATATTTTAAAAATTTCTGTATTTTCACCAAAAATTGTGATTTTTTTTTAAAGTATGCCATTCGATTACAAATAGCTTGAAACGGATAATGTGATTGGAATCAAGTCGATAGGTTGTATCGTTGTCGAGAAATCGTTAAAAACGTACCGTGTAAATCGTGGAAAACCGTGTAAAAAAAACCGTGTAAAAAAAGACTTCAGTGTAATATGGTTCTCCTAATAAAATGTGTATGGTAATTTTGCTTAACGACGTGCGTGGGGTATCATCCAAACCATTTGTGGAAAAGTTCGGCAATTTGGGTTATCGTTCGTTTATGGTATTTGTTTATTAGGGTCCACTATGTGCTTAAATTTATTTGATTGAAATTATAGATACTATAGATTGCATAGATGAGCGGAGACGAAGGAGAATGTAACCATATGAGACGTCAGTTAGTGTAGCTAAACAAGCTTGATGTCATCATGGTATTTTTTTGCGGAGGAAGTATTGTAATATTATGAGCAAAATTATTATTCATTTCATTGTAATTTTTTCTTAAGTAAATTAATTGAATAAATTAAAAATCAAAATGATGCATCACCATACCCAACAATCTAACGATGCAAATTCGGTGCGGCCCGGTTGGATAGAAGTCTGCTGGAAGACCACATAACGCTTCCGATACTCCACATTCCGATTTATTTTGCGGAAAACGGAAGAAGGGAATATTGTGCAAACCACTCCTAGATTCATTGTTGCAAAGATTTGCTTTGCACTTCATTTTTCGCACAAACTAAAATTGCACAACGAAGAGCTCTTTGATGGCATGAACATTTTTCACGGATGCCAGTAAGAGCATTTATTTTTAATGGTTGCCAAATACTCTTTTTGTGCTTTTGCTTATCTATAGATATATATTCCATATATGGAATCTATAGCATCTATCAGTGCTGCAAAATCTCGACAGTACACGGTGATATTGACAATTCTGCTTTGGTCACTCATTGGAGCCAGCAGTCATAGTCAAGGCAAACCATGTCAATTGTCAATGACAATGCTGTCAGTGACGAACATGTGCAGATTTATTTATTAGCTAAATTTGTAACGGAATTAAATGACTTGAGCAAAACAATTACATGGATCAATTTTAGTGAATAAGTATCTACGTCCTGAGCTACTTGGATAACAATAATGTGACACAGAATGTACTAAATTACACTTTTTGTTACCAGGTGAATCTTTGTCATTGACGAAAAAATGAATGAGATTTTGACGAAGGTTTTTTTGAGGATCAAGTCTGTCAGTGACTATGTGACGAACAATTTAGTCAATATCGCGCGAAAGTCTGTCAGTGACAATGACAATTCTCAGCACTGGCATCTATAATTGCAATAGTTGGGATAACAATGAAGTACTTTGAATGGACATGCATGTGTACGACATTGAGTGTTCGATTTTTCAAAACCATTTTCAGTCCCTTCACAGTTAAAAATAAATACATTCCCGAGTACCATACACGAACGATATCAGAAATGACTAAATTTTACTCCATGAGGTAGGTAGGTTTTGATCAAAGGTTGAAGTCATGCATTTTAGAACGTACCTTGCATAATTCTCAAATCGGCTATTTGTCCGTCTCATCTTGCGATTTTGAGAACATTCAACATTCAAGTAGTTAAATAAGCTGTAAACAAACATTGTTTAATACCTCGATTCAAACAATCGTTTCTGCTCGATACAGTCACAAAAACATTAGTTGTGTGATCTGTTAAATTTTAGTGATGAATATGTATAAATTATTCAAATTACTGAAACTAGTTCAATTTAACAATAAATACACTTCCAAGTGTACTTATTTTAGTCCTTCATCTTTACAGTACAGTAACATTGTGATAATGATTAAGGGAAGACGGGATAAGACCGCCACCCTAAGCAATACATTTAGTAGCTCAAAATTAGCAAGAAATTACACATTTTGCTATGAATAAGCATTTATTTATCTATGGACAAAAATTGTAAAATTTTCTGATTAATAACATTATTTATGCTTTTTCATCAATTTTTGGAACGATCAAAAAATATTCGTTCTTTCACAAGCGGGATAAGAAGGACCACCAGTGAGGTAAGACAGACCATGTCAAATTTTTCGACAACCATTGCACAAAATTGGACGCAACAAGCGCCCCATGAATAGTACTATGGTCACATAGATCATAAGTGAATATCTTTGGAATTGATCAACTGGTTCCACAGATTTGACCGGAACAGGTTCCAGTGACCATAAGTCCTGTGAGCACAGATCTAGAAATGATCAAAAAGGATTCAAACCTATATTTGGGGTGGCAAGACCAGCAATTCATAAGGTAAATGAAAAACGTGATGAAAGGGGGAGCTGATTTTTATTGAATTTTACGTGACGTGCTCTCTTTGTCGTTTTCCACAAATTTTAATAAATGCAAACCTTATTATCTGATGATCTTGTTTCTAGGTGCTGGGCACAAACAAACTAACACTGGGGAGGCGAATTTAATTTTTCAAATTTTCTTAGGCGATAGCAACCGGAATATATGTATTTTAATAAAATGACGTCATGCGATAAAACTTTCGCTCAATTTTATATGAAGAACGAGGTTCTCTAAAGCAGAAATTTTCAATTATTTTCACTCAATTTTACTAATTCCATAAACATTACTAAAATCAACGTCTGTTATCAATTATAAATTTCATCTTATGAGGACCTTACTCTGTATCACCCAGACCTCAACTATCAATAACATTGGTAAACTTTAGAAATGAGGTCACCATGTTGAGTATTCAATGTGTGTTTGTGTTGAATTTCGATTTAACTAAAGTAGCATTATCCGTAGCACGAATTTTAAAAGATCCCATCCTTTCGTGGTTATCAATCGCATCATGACCCTGATTGACACTTACCGTATACTCTCCAACAATTCTTTATGTTGCACACAGTTTTTGGACAATTTCCACGCACAGAACCTTTTTTCTTTTAAACTAATAGATGTTTCCTCTACTAAACCAAACTCAAAAATGATCTTTCTAGCTGTCATACCTTAAATAGGAAACTTTCCCGAAATATTATGGGAAAACACTCTTCCTTTTGCGTACTTTCCTGCTCTTCACTGCAACGCCAGCAGAGAGAAAGAGCAAATGCAGCGCATGTGTTCCTCCAAAATATCTACCCGTCCCGTACATACCTACAATTAGCAGCTGGATCGGATTTTTCGCTGGGAAAATCGCACAGTACCATATAGATTTAGCATAAGCAATTGGATAAACCTCGGCCATCTGTTTCCCGCTTGCGGTCCTTCTTTTCGGGCGGTATTTCCGTTCTTCCGAAAAACCCAGGTCGCAATAAACCAAACGCAAAGCGTCCTAGAGAGCACATGCGGCACACGGTCCTGTTGATTAACTTATGCGGAAGGGCTTTGTTTGCTAGGCGCCTTCGAATGTTAAATACATAATTAGCATAAAAAGTGCATTTTTATGCTCCTTCAAAACTAAAGGACCTCTCGGTTTCGCATCGAGATGGTGTGCAAGAGGAACGAAAGGGTTGGTGAAACTCTGAAATGCGACCAGATGAATTTTAAGAATCAGAATATACGATGTGGGATTTCAATTCTAGTTGGTTTTTCTATTTGGCCTATCCTAGCGGAAATTCCATAATTATTTCCGCTTTCTTCGTTTCCTTTTCATACTGGCAGGATATACCCGTTGTTGATGTTTATGAGACAAAACCTTCAAACAGAATAGGTAATCCTATTCATATTTATTATGTAAATAAAATAATTTTGAACTTTCCCACTCAGCTTGCTGGAGAGTTGAGATTGGCTTTAGATTTTTGCTAGGCGCCAGGCGATCAATCTTGCGGGTACTTTGCAGGAGCTGGCAGATTATTTGCCTCATTTATGACGTTGGAATTTCTTTTCGTTCCTTACATCTCTGAATAATTTATTACCTTTTGCTAGTTTTGTTGAAAACAGAAAATTATTCTACTCATTCCAGCATATGCGCAGTTGCCTGTACACATTTCCAATGCAAATCGCCATTAGGGAATATGATAATTTATTAAAAATGTATTTATTCAGCTTGTAGTTCGAACTATCCAATTCAGACAATGTGCTGTAGAATGCCCTGACGAATGAGCGCCTCACACTGCAGTTTTGGCAAATAGTGCTGGCTATTCTTCTTCAACAGCACAATTTCACCGTTTTCCAGTTCAAACTTACCGTAATCGGTCAGACAGCGCACCTCAATGAACAGCGACTTCGGTGGTTTGATATCGTTGGTCAGATTCAATCCAGTACCATCTCCAATCGTCATCATGTAGTTGGCCAACATCCGCGAGTAGTTGTTGAACCACTGCAGCTCCGGCTCGTTTAGATTGGCTTTGATATCGGCGGGCAATGTGGCACCCAGATGCCATCGTACTTTCTTCAACTTTTGAAGGCGATTGTGCAAGTAAACCATAACGCAGCGTTTATGTCTTTGAATCTGCTTGTGGCGGTACATCACCAACGGGAGGTATTTCCGGTCTCCGGTTTGATTGTAGGACATCCTAGATGTTAGAAAAAGGTAGAGAATCGTAAAAGATTGTAATTCGATATATAGCTTGGAAGAAAAGATGAAAAGTTACGCTTCGAAATGTAAAGGATATTATTGCTCATGTACTAGTCTTGAATAGCTTCTAATTAATCTACACACTGAATCTAGCTCGGTAAAATCCCCAACAGCCGATTACCTCTGCATTTAATTTTGCTGATATATAAGCAAAATATCTGTTTGCTAGCTGAATTCTCAGCAAAAATCTAATTTGCTAGCTGAGTTTTGGCGGTTCTCAACTAAATAAATTGCAGAATCTGGGATCTCGGCAAAAAAATAAGAAGTTCTGAAAGCAATCTCTATGAGAGTAAACGAAAGTTCCAGTAGTCACATATTAAGCTAAGAAGAAGAAAAATAAGGCAAATCAATGAACAAAGAGAGTGTACCTGTTCCATTTATTAAGGATCAGCAAAAAATGACCTGCCTACATATGAGTATAAATTTGCCCACCGTGTATGTAAGCCGAAAGTGTCAGAATTAGCTTAAATCTATTTCAGAGTGTACTACATAAGGGGTCATTGACAAATTATGTAAGGACTAGGGAGTCAACATTTCTTATAGTTTTTTTTTTGCAATGGGAGGAGTTTCAACATTTTTTATAGTTTTTTTTTGCAATGGGGGACGAGATCTGACATCTTCTTACATAATATTCAATAGATAGAAGAACATAATTTGATCTTAACCGTTTAGTAAAGCTAAATAGCAACATCATAGCAAAATAATATCACATTTTAATATCATAACTTATTAAGTTATTGGTATGTTCTTCAAAAAAATCAACTCAATAACATAGCATTGTTGTTCTGATATTAGATCATATTGATATCTTGATAGCTGGAATTTTTTTTAAGATACGAAAATCGCGCAAATTGCGAACGCCACCGCAAGAAAACTGTTGAGCAAAAAACAGTGTATTACACTTAAAGAGTGCTACCAAAATACATGTGACTATGTTGGCAAGTTGATTAATTTTGTTTTCCTCCTTAGATATTCTACTTAATTTACTATTGAGCTTTGTTTCAATTTAGTTATTTTACCGCTCGTATCAATCATTTCAAGATTTCGCGACCGTACCGAACAAATTCTATACTACAGAAGCTAAAAAAAACTTTTGGTGAGCTCTACCGCATTGCGAATCACTTCTGCGTAAGCTCCGTAGACGTAGGCGCGTTGATTCCGACAGCCGCGAAAAGTTAAACATCCCAAGTAACATTGCAGGTTTTATCGAGGTTTTATAGCATTCTACAAGTCTAAATTTTGATCTACAGAACCCTCATAAAACCAAAATTGTTACTTGGGATGCCTCAATACCACTTTTTTTTCCTCTGTTCGGGACCTAACACTACTGTGACCAGTAAATTGATCTATTGTAGTATATTCCGTGTCCTTAGTTTAGTGCATGTCGTATTACTCCATCACTATTGAGAAATCATGAAGTATTCGATTTTTTACAGTTGCCACTCTTGCATTTATCGCAAGGTTTCGACTCTAATTGAAATGTACCGCTATTTATACCCTTCGGAGTGTTGAAACACCCTCCAAAGGCGCGCCCCTTTGTCAGGCAAAATTGGATTCCTTAGCAATATTAGTTTCAATATTTCATCTGACATCTGACATCTTCTCACATAAGATTCAATGGATAGAAGAACATAATTTGATCTTTAGGTAATAGCAAAATCATAGTAAAATAATATAAAATTTTGCTATAATATAAAATAATATAAAAATATAAAAATTATTAAGTTATTGGTAGAGTAGAGCGCTACTTCATCGTAATCGCCCATTTCCGTTCTATCGATCAGAAAAGATCAATAAAATCAATCACCGTGCACAAATTAATAATATGATTGATCCGATGCGTTAGTTCATTAGCTACAATATAAATCCTTTTAGAGCGCATTGTATGAATATTTACGCTCAATGTTCTCAAAACAAAAGAACCGCTCCTAGCGAATCTTCGTTTATCCGTAGGACGAAGAAAATCTAATGGGGTTTCAATGCGTTAGGGCAGAATGGAAACTCGTAGGACCAAGCAGTATTAAATTTTGAATAATATCTCAACAATTTGTGACTGTTTATCGAATCCAACGGTATGGAAAGGTGAATAAATTTAGATGTCATCTTTGGCAGAAATATTCTGTTTTTTGTTCAAACCCGTTCAAAAACGAGAGTTAAAGCGCGGTTGTGCTTAGTAGAACGGAAATTAGATCAAAAACCTTATGTTCTTCAAAAAATCAACTTTATAACATTGCATGTTCTTAATATTTTAGCAAACATTTTGTGAAACATAAACTAAGAACTCATAGAGTATTATTTTATGATTTTCTACCGCAAAGTCAACCATTTATATGGCATAAAAGGGAAAATAATTCCATTTGATATAAATAAGACAATTCAGTCACACCATTATTGCAGTTCACACTTAAATTGTGACGTTTCAGATGTTGGTTTCAATAACATGGCGGCATATCAGCCAGCTGGATAAAAATCATTCCTTCTACATTCAACTTGGCTGAAAATGAAGACAACCTTAACCGATAGACCAACTACCTGCATGGATTTTAATTTTGACGTAAAAACATTCTCTTGATCAAGGCAACCTCTGAGTATCAAAGACAATGGACAATGTTCATTCGTGGCTGGAAGGTCATTATCGCCTGCGTTGTTGTCAATAGTCAATATTAATATTCGTCTTCATCTTGGTGGGAATGATTTTGAGGATCAAATTCAAAAAAATTATTTTCATTTTACACAAATATAGCACTGAAGAATGTATTGTGTTAATTTTTACACAGATCGATGGGAAATCATTGCCTCATGCTGAATTGATGATAATATCGAGGTTTTAGGCTCTGGGGTCGACAATATTTAAAATAATCTATTTACCCAAAATGAATTTGATTATTTTGCTTTTGAGCATCGTTTCTGATTTTTACAATTTTGGGATGGATAATCAAGCACTTTTTTTAAAAACTCTTTATTTGTTCCAAATTCAAAATAAATTACATTTCATTTTAACCTAGGTGCTCCAGTTACTACAGTAACTTATCAATAAATAGATTCAAAATAATCTATTTTTTAAAACAGCATGTCAGTATAATAATTGAAATCTTAAAACTAAATCTTATCTAAGTATAAAGGGAATTAATCGTTGCAATTGAGGATTGCAACGATTTTTGCCTGAAATTATTAATTATTTTGTTGGACATTTGTTCTAAAGTCTCAACATTCGAAATTCTATGTACTTCGGTAGTACTGTACCAGGGAGGCAACTTCAAAATCATTTTCAGAACTTTGTTCTGAATCCTTTGAAGTGCTTTTTTCCTGGTAGTGCAACAACTAGACCATATTGGCACAGCGTAAAGCATGGCCGGTCTAAAAACTTGTTTAAATATTAGAAGTTTATTCGTCAGGCAAAGTTTGGATTTCCTGTTAATAAGAGGATACAAACATTTTATATATTTGTTACATTTGGCTTGAATGCCCTCAATGTGATCTTTAAAAGTTAATTTTTGGTCAACTACTAATCCAAGATATTTCAATTGGTTTGACCAGGAAATTGGAACTCCGTTCATAGTGACTATGTGACTACTACTAGGTTTCAAAAAGGAAGCTCTAGGCTTATGTGGAAATATTATAAGTTGAGTTTTGGAAGCGTTGGGAGAAATCTTCCATTTTTGTAAATAAGAAGAGAAATATCTAAACTTTTCTGCAGTCTGCTGCAAACAACACGAAGACTTCTTCCTTTAGCGGAAATGCCTGTGTCATCAGCGAACAAAGATTTGTGGCAACCCTGAGGCAAATCAGGGAGGTCCGAAGTGAAAATGTTATACAATATAGGCCCAAGAATGCTACCCTGAGGAACTCCTGCTCTAACAGGTAGTCGATTAGATTTGGAATTTTGATAATTTACCTGCAGAGTTCTGTCAGTTAAATAATTTTGAACTAATTTCATAATGTAAAGTGGAAAATTAAACTTTTTCAATTTAGCAATCAAACCTTCATGCCAAACACTGTCGAAAGCTTTTTCTATGTCTAGAAGAGCAACTCCAGTTGAGTAGCCTTCAGATTTGTTTGAACGAATTAAATTGGTAACTCTTAAGAGTTGATGAGTAGTTGAATTCCCATGGCGGAATCCAAACTGCTCATCTACAAAAATTGAGTTCGTATTGATGTGAAGCATCATTCTATTTAAAACTATCTTTTCAAAAGGTTTACTTATTGAAGAAAGCAAACTTATTGGACGGTAGCTAGAAGCTTCAGCTGGATTTTTATCCGGCTTCAAAATTGGAACAACTTTTGCATTTTTCCATTTATCAGGAAAGTATGCCAAATGGAAACATCTGTTAAATAATTTTACCAAGAAAGACAAGGTACTCTCTGGGAGTTTTTTGATGAGGATATAGAAAATTCCATCATCACCTGGAGCTTTCATATTATGAATTTTTTTTAGTTATAGACCTTACTTCGTCCAAATCAGTCTCCCAGGAATCATCAAAAATATTTTCCCGAGAGAAAATATTCAGATAATCCCGAGCAACCTGATTCACAATAGGACTAGTAAGGCCCAAACTGAAATTATAGGAACTCTCAAATTGATTAGCAAGCTTCTGAGCTTTTTCCAAATTTGTGATCAAAATTTTACCACCTTCTTTAAGCGGTTTTAGCGGTGGAATGGTTTTTTTTTTTTCAAAATTTAAGTGAGTTTCCAAAAGGGTTTAGAACTCGGGTCTAATTTAGAAACATTATTTTCAAAAGTTTTGTTCCTCAGGGCAGACAATCGTGTTTTAATTTATTTTTGCAAATCCCGCCAGATATTTTTCATGGCAGGATCGCGTGTTCTTTGATATTGTCTCCTACGGACATGTTTAAGACGGATCAAGAGCTGAAGATCATCGTCTATTATAATTGAATCGAATTTAACCTCGTATTTTGTTACTAAGGCAGCTCTTGCTT